TGGTAGAGACAGTGGAGTATCTGGTGTTTTTCTTGGCTCTTTGGAATCTACCACTGTAATACTGTTGCTTTGCTTATTTGAGTCTGTGCTGTAGTTTATTTCAAAACATAGCACATTTTCTGTACATTAACAGGGCAGGACTCGTCAAGTCATCTCTGTAAAGCTTCTGTTTTTACTGATCGCTCTCTTGTGGACGTTGGTGATCCAGGACTTTAAACGTTTGTTGAAATGCTTCTTTCTGTACAAATGAAAACGACTGATTAATTCCTTGAGTTTGAACATCGTTCCATGTACAGTTTGAAATGTATTTAGTGAATTTGTTAGTGTTGCTGTGTGTGTAGCTGTAGTTACTATGGAAACAACTGGAAGATGATCAGAAATGTCAGTACATAACACACCATTAGTACTGGAGACCTCAGTTATGTTGGTGATATTAATATCAATTCACGTTTTAGTATTTGATGTTATTGTACTGGGTTTATCAGGTGAAAAGGAGATGATGCACTTAACTGCTTGATGAAATTAAATGTCTCCTGCTGAAGAAAGTCAACATTAAAATTTCCCATCATATAATAAACTTTATTTTCCTCTGTGATTTTATATTAGTAAAGCTTTTTTTATCCCACCAGACGTCATATGGACGTTGTTTTTGGGCTAAATCTGGTCTTTTATGGCCTTTATTTAGCATAAATAGAACATTTTTAACAATCACAGCTGTTCAAAAACGTAAATATATTTATACTGTAGGAGTTTTGAGGAAAGTCGTTGAGGCGAAGAATTTATCACAAAAAATCCAGAGGAGGGACTAAAACTCTGTTGAAATGATGGCACTTCAAGGGTTCTTTAGTAAAGAAAATGGTTCTATATAGAGCCATGAATCCTCAAACAACCCTTGCGATTAAAGGGTTCTTTGCATCATTAAAGGGTTCTTCAGACTGATGGAGAATGTGCCGTAAAGGGTTCTATATAGCACCAAATAGCGTTGTTCTATTGTAACAAGCCTGACATTGTAACAATAAAAAGAACCCTTTTTGGCGCTTTATAGAACCCTTCTATATAGAACCATCTACAACACATTCTCCATTAATCTGAAGAACCGTGTCATGAGGCAAAGAACCCTTTAATCATGCAAGAGATTCTCTGAGTGTTCATGGTTCTTTAGTTGAGACAGTATATTAAAACTACCTCCACCATGTGGAGGCTGTACTTTAGCCTGGCTGGATCTCACTGTGAGCTATTTATATGATTTAAAATGATGCTATATTACAGAAACCAGGAGGCAGATTAAAATAATGTAGAAGTGAAGGCTCAGACTTATACACACAACACAGTAATCAGAAACATTATTTACATTTATGACCTTCAGAGTGACAAATTAAAATATATCTTCATAAACTTCATGTTGTCTCCAGTCTTTTGCTCTGTAGTGTAAATGTACTTGATGTTTATCAGTGAGAACTCAAACTGCTTATGTTCTCTAACTCTCCTCTGTCCAGAACGTTGACCCTAATGCTAAGGACGACACGTACACAGCTCTTGACCCCGTGTCCAGGTCCTCTGATGATGTGTACAACACACTCACAGTAAGTGTCTCTTCAGAAACTCAGTTCAGTCAGACGTTCAGATTTATAAAGAATTCCTACAAAGTCCACATTTCTTCATTTCTCCTCCTCTGCTTCATTCTCTCTTTCCCTCACACAGACTGTTCATTCCAGTCCTTCTGATGATCTGTACTCAGATACTGGTTGGTTCAAGTTTACTTTGTTTTTTTTTTCATTTTAGACTGTGAACAACAAACGCTGACTGAATATCACCATGGAAACCACTCAGACTTTACACATCCACTGAATGAAGGGGAGAGAGAGAGAGAGAGAGAGAGAGAGAGAGAGAGAGAGAGATTACCTGTGGTTTATGTTTATAGTACAGCTCTGTGAACAGTTTGACAGTCTCTGTATCCAGGAAGACTTACAGCAAATTCTGTCAGAGCTTCTAAATTCTTCTTTCTTTATTTAAAAAGACTTTTTTGGAGATGCTCACTGATCAGCAGCACTTATTTTATTATCATTTTAAGGAGATTTTAATCTTTTCTTAATAAATTATAGTTACAGGCCTTTAAACTCTTTCAAACAAATGTTCCTTAATGGTTCTTCTCTTGGAAGCACAGTTGAAGGAAATACTATATGTACAGAACCTTTACATTCTGGGAAGGTTCTTTAAACATTATAAAGGTTCTTCACACTAACACATCTCATTCATACAAACGGCTCTCTAAAGCAGTGGTCCTCAAACTGGTCCTCAGGCCCCCTCAGATGGGCCACACGTTTGCTCTGTCTCTATTTGTTGAGTTAGAATGTGGATCATCTGGGGGACCCTGTAGACCAGTTTGAGGACCACTGCTCTAAATAACCACTGAAAGGTTTTAGGAACCAAAATAAGATCTACAGCTTTTCTACAGTGAAACTTGTTTAGTCAAATGAAGCCAGAATTGATTTCATTTATTTTCTTTCATTGTAAGTTTAATATTTAAAGTAAAGCCTCTAAATGAGTTCATTGATGTCTGTCTTATTATTTTCCTCCAAACTTCTTTAGCTAATCTACATATTTCACATGTAAACCTTAACCAGGGCTGTAAAAGTTACCTAATGAAACATTTAATACATTTATCACTGAAACAGCTGCAGTATTATTAATAAATAACTGAAATATTAGTGAGCAGAAGAGAAAGATGGATGAAGTGTCAGGTGAGCTGATACAGAGCTCCAGATATCAGTCAGTCAGTGATGGGCCTTACAGTACAGTGTGCATGTAATTACAGCGACTTTCCTCTAGATGGCAGTACAGACCAACATGAGATGATAAACCAACTCTGACATCATCATCAAGCATAATTAGATTTTGGAAAAGAGTCAAATACTTTTAATGTCATTAAGGCTGGTTTCTCAGATGTGGATTAAGCCTAGTCTCAGACTAAATTGCAGTACTAATGGTGAATATCTATCATCAATTCTTTTTAGTCCAGGATTTGGTTTAATCTGAGTCTTGGAAACCTACAAATATGAGAATATTAAAGGTTTAAGAGCTTCATATTTATCTGTTAAACATTCACAGCATCATACTGAACTGATGTGTGTGATGAAGTGTGAGCTGTGCTGAGGCCTGTTTGACTCACTGCTACTTCCTGACTCTAAATCTGGATGAGGCTAGTTCTGTACTGAGGATACACAGGAAATTACATCATCAGCTCTGAAATGAATGTCACTCTTTCTAAATGCTGCTCTTGTAGTGTTTCTACTTTAACTGTGAATCAGCTCCATATTTCCATCTGCTAAAGCTAAAGCTCAGCTCCATTCATCACTACAGCTAATGAGTGTGTTTGTGCAGTGCTGCTCTGATCTTCACAAGGCCTGTCAGAGCAGCACTGCTGTGCTAGGATCTGATTCTGAGACTGAGATATAAAACAGGGAGGAATCTGATCCTGAAGCAGCTCTGAGAGGAGATGAGCAGCACTTTTCATATTTGCGGTAAGAAGAGCAAATAGCATGAGTGAGCTGACCAATCAGTGAAGAGTGACTGACTAAAAGTCCTTCACAAGCAAAAGAGTTTATGATCAACATTAATGCTGGACTCTGGAAGGAAAAGTCCACTTCATCTTCATCTTCCTCAGTCACTGATGCTGATGAACACAATGGAGGAAGATGCAGCTTTCAGTGTCATCAGTGGAAAAAATGAATTACATCATCAGTTAAACTCAAACCCACAATGCTGTGTGTGCTATTTTAGTACTGACACTCAGAGGAGTTGTGGTCTGAGTGCTCAGAGACAAAGGAAGCTGTAGTGTGACAAAACGGTCCTGCTGGTCAGTTGAAGCCACCAACACTGTCTACAGAAAACATGCAGGACAGCGAAGTCATTGATTTAAAGGGGAAAATGTTCATCATCTCAGTACTGACTCATTAATGTTCTTCAATATGAAGCAGTTCTTCCAAAGGTTTATGAAATTCATTATTTTTAAAAGAATGAATGATGACTTCGGTAAAAACAGGAAGAATGATTGTCAGGATGTGAGAAGACAGGAACACTTTAACCACATTCAGCCGACTGTTTAAACTGATGAAGCTCTTCTGTTCTCCTCAGTCGTTCTTCAGGTTCAGGAGATGAACATCATTTAATGAAGGTAGGAAAACACTCTTAGTGCTTGTTCAGTTAGTAAAGAAATTATAGTTATTGAGTATGATACAGTATTTACTTTAGATCGACTATATTTGTGGTCTTTCTGCTCACAGATCATTAAATCTTCACTTCACAATCATCACACATTCACTGCTTTTATCTACAATTAACTTACAGCTCAGTAGCACTAATTACAGCATTTATTAATAAATATAGCTGCAAATAACATACTAGTAACATGTTCTGTAGTTGTTTTATTGTTCTTTGTTAGTCTGTTGGTGAAGCTGTGAATTTATGTTATTATAAGTTTGTCTTGTACAGTAAAGTCTCTTCTAAATTAGTTCATACATTTCTATCTTGTTTTTTTGTTACAACCTAGTTTAAGCCAATATTTGTTATTTTCCCACTTCTCTACATTCATCTCACCCAAATCTGTAAAAGTCACCCAGTAAAACACATTTCTTACTGAAATGCCAGCAGTGTTTGTTATTTCTCTAGTAAACTACTGACTTATTACAGGAACTGAGAGTGTCAGATGAGCTGCTACAGATATCAGTCAGTGATGGGCCTTATAGTACAGTGTGCATGTAATTGCAGCTACATTCCTCTAGATGGAAGCACAAACTAACAGCAGATGACAAACCAACATCATCACCACAGACGAGAGTTCATGTTTTAAGGAAGTTCTAGTGAGAAGAAATGAAGCTGCTGGTCAGTTGAAGTAAAACGCACTGCCCACATACAACAAGCAAGAAAGTGAAAAGTGACTAATTAGATGGAAAAATGTTCATCATCTCACAGCTCAATTATTAATGTTCCTCAGTTACACAGTAGTTTTTCTAGTTTTTAGTATTTTTAATTCAGTTTCAATGAGAATAAGTGTGTCTTGTGTACTTGAATGAGGAAGAACTGATTCAGTGAAAACAGGAAGAATAATTGTCAGTGAATTTGAGAAAGTCAGCAACACTTTAACCACATTCAGTTTAGCAGTTTAAACTGTGAAAGCTCCTCCTTTTCTCTGCATTCGTTCTTCCAGTTCAGGAGACGACCGTCGCTTAATGAAGGTAGGAAACACTCTTAGTGCTTTTGGAATCAGTAAAGAGTCATTAATTCATAGTTAATGGACAGAGAAGTGAACTGACACTGATATTTGTATTGTGTTTAGTTTAACAAGTGTAGTTTGACTGTTGGTCTTTTGGTGATTCTGCTACAACATATTTACTGAGACACTCTAATAATGAAGTGTGTATATAATATCAGCAATGCAGCACCAATATGAGGCCTGTAAAACATGAAGATCACTACATTACAAGCCTCTAATGGACAGTGAACTAAGTTCATGTATGAACTCTGCCTGCTTTCTTTCTGCTGACTGAGCTTTATCTGCACTATGAAAGTACTTTGGCAGATACAGACATATTGATGACCCTTGAATTTGCATAAATAACTCAGTAAATTAACATTGTCTTGTTAAATATTGTGATCATACAGGCTGAACTGCTGATCTCACTCAGAATGTCTCTGACTGTTTCTCTGCTGTTTCTGCTCTTCATCTCTGGTGAGTCAGAGCTGTTACTTCTCACTGAACTCTGTACAGTTATGAGGTCATTTTTATATATGATGTTGTGCTAAACTACTGTAAGACCTGTGGAGCTTCTCACTTTGTGCTTTTATCTCCAAATGAGCTCAGATTATTACAGCTGATCATTCAAACTCAGCTGAAATGAACAGTCTTAGAAATGAGCTGAAGTGGAGACTTTATGCAGCATTTTTACTGACTGAGACCCAAACAGTAATAATTTACACATTTCTGTATTTTGTGTTGCAGGAGTTGTTGCTCAGGATGGGTGGGCTGTGAATTACAACTCTAAATATATCTGTGCTCTAAAGGGGTCTGCAGTGACCATGGAGTGTACTTACACACCTCCAAGTGGTCACTCAGTCCAAAAAGCTTTCTGGACTAAAGAGCTGGTTACATCTGGTTCAGAACCTCCTGATCTGTTAGATGATCCAGAGTACAGAGGCAGAGTTCTGTACCTCGGAGATGAACACAGTGACTGCACTCTCAGATTTAAGACTGTGAGAGAAAAGGATCAAAGTAAATACTACTTCACATTTATAACAGACCAACCTGGAGGAAAGTATCAAGGTGCAGGTGGAGTTGATCTTTCAGTCACAGGTAAGATCCATCAGCAGAAATAAGACACTGTACTTCATTCACTGGTGTTCAGGATCACAAAGCAGTTCTGTAATAGAATCACATCAGTCCTTCATAGAACACCTTACATTATTATGTGATTAAAGTGTTTGTAGATCAAATGTAACGACTTCATCAGAGCTGTAAGTTTGTTCAGTCTGTGATGTTTAATATTACGTCTACATTTGTGCAGAAATATTCACAATAACTCACTCAGCTAGTGTGAGTCTCCACAGTGTGAGTCTGTTTTCTCTGGTTCTCAGATCTCCAGGTGGAGGTTCCTGAGAGAGTGATAGAGGGAGATAAAGTCACTCTCACATGTAGAACCACCTGCAGTCTGACGGTCAGACCAACATTCACCTGGTACAGAAATGGACATCGTTTATCCTCCAGTACTGACCAACTCCACCTGCAGCCGGTCAGCAGGGGGGATGCAGGCAGGTATCGCTGTGCTGTACTGGGTCAGAACTCTCCTGAGGTCACTCTGAATGTCAGATGTAAGTACAGATTCATTT